GTTGTGGAGGAATTAAAATTAGCAAGCCATCTTTTGCCCCAGTTAACGACGGTTTTGAGGTCTTTTTTTACATCAGCTACCATTTTGAACTTATCGGACTGATCAGCCTTACAGTCGAGGTAGGAGTGAATGGTAGTGTCGTCAGCGTAGATGCCAAGTTGAAAACTGATGTCATCGGGAAGGTCATTAATAAAGATTAAAAACAGGATGTAGATGAGTAGCCATTCAGGATAACTTTCATTTCACGATTAGATAGGAACGACTGGATCAGCTCAAAAATGTGCCCGGAGATATGGCAACTTTTTAGTTTGTGAAGAAGACCAGAATGCCAAATCCTACTAAAAGCCTTCGAGATGTCCAATGCCCAGGCTTCACCGTTTTTACCTAGAGCATGATAGACTCTTTCGGCAATTATGTTAGTACATCAGTAGTTGACTTGGAAAACGCCGTATTGCTTGTCTGAGAAAAGCCCTTACGATGAGAGATAATGAACGAATTCAGAATTGATTAGAGTCTCTACGAGTTTCCTAAAAAGCGGTATAAGGCTAATAGGCCGATAATTGGATGTTCTTAAAAACTGGAATAATACACGATGACTTCTGGCAGGCAGAAAAGTAGGAGGCATTTATATAGTTTGGAGACATCAGGAGCTAGTTTGTGAGCACACTTCTTAATAACTATTACAGGGATACCATTGGGTATACGTGTTCTGTAGGGATCCAGAGAGATGAGAGCAGGAACCATGGAAGGTGTTATATGCATATCACTCAATAGAGAATCATTTCTAGTAGAGAAGTTAGGCAGTGATACTCCAGATGTGTCAAGAGTAGAATATGAGGAGAATTTACGAGCAAAGCATTCAGCTTTATCAGCAGGGGATGATAACACCTCCATTCGATTGAAAAGGGGGAACAGAGACCTTGTACTTATTTAGTACCCTATTACAGAGATGCCAGTTATCATGAGAGCCAAAGTGTTTAGAGCCTATGCCGTGCCTCATTCTCTCAGCAGGCAGGGATACACACAAGATTGGATATAAGCCATTTTTTGTGCTTCGATTATGTCTTATGAAAGACGAAAATATTCGGATAATTCATCAGAAACCAGGGAAATGGTCCGGCATCTAGGAAAAAAATAATCAATAAAAATTCTTATAGATAAAAAAGGCTACTTAAATACACCCATCATATATATATATATATATATATATATATATATATATATATATATATATATATACTCTTTAAATGACAATAAATGCAGTGTTTATTGACTTGCAAATTAGATTAATGGTTAAAATTAAGAAATATTAATGTTTAATAACTTACAAAGAGATTAACTGTTGAATTGAATATTAAATGAAATTGAATGCATGGTTCGGAAAAAAGAAGAGGTTATAGGCAGTTAAAAATTGGGTGAGTGTATTTTCTTTTAGAAACTATATATATATATATATATATATATATATATATGATAAGCAAATATAAATGGATATAAATCCGACAGAATGAAGAAAATATATGGAAAAACAAACAAAAATCTTTAGAATGTGATTATGTTGTTTTAATGTCCACTGGAAATACAAACCTGAATTCATTTTATTACACGGAGGACTGCATGCTTATCCGAAGATACAAGAATCTACTAGTCTCCACGTATTCCTACAAGAACAGAAAAGATTTTCTAACGAACTGTATATATGAAAAATCTTTCCATCGGAATCAAATTTTATAAAAATTTTAAGAATACGTTTTGAAAGCGTCGCCCATTTGACGACAACGTGACCACGCTCAAACGGAAAGCTGATCATTTAAAATTTTCATTCATTTGTTTTGGATAAGACTTGTTTTTATGTCCATCGTTTCCGTCGAGTTATACTGATTATGTTAATTGTATTTTTAATGAATATTGTCCTGAAGAAGGTTATTAAACCGAAACGTCAGACGTCGACATTTCATTCATATTAAAACAACATAAACACATTCTAAGGATTTTTGTTTGTTTTTCCAGATATTTTCTTCATATATATATATATATATATATATATATATATATATATGTATGTATGTGTGTGCGTAAAAAATCCGTGGATAAGTAATCCAAGCAGATCCTATGAATACAAAATATTAAACCTGATCCACAATATGATTTTTTATTATAGAGGATATAGTGAATTACAATCAATTAAACCCAAACAATTACCCCTTACAGATGGCCATTTTGTCCCTGGAAAAAATTTTCATGAACTTGTCAATGCAAATACATTTGTTGTACTTGCATTGACAAGTCAGGGTATTTTTTCCCAAGAACGAAAATGGCCATCTGTATTAAAAAATTGTTTTCTTAACTAACCATTACACACACACACACACACACACACACACACACACACACACACACACACACACACACACACACACACACACTAGGAAATTTGCATCACTGCGTCATAGCAAATAGTTAACAATTTTTCTCGTCAGAATCCATCTAACACATTCAT